TCTTTGATTGATTCTTCCTTGTTCTATCTATCACTCATGTCATGTCATGGTTACAGAATCCCTGCTGCCTGCAGATTAAATGAAAAGGGGATTTGCAGCTACGACAGCATACTAAAGACATGGTATTTACTGTAAGATCCTCTTGGTGACTATGTACGAAGGCTTCATGTGAATATGAATCAGCATGGCAAACAATCCTGCTGAATAGTATAGGAAAGTCATTTGCAATAAGTTAATTGTCTACCAGAGCCTACTTCTGGCACCTACCCATAATGTAGGTAGGGAATCACTTCATCTCCGTGTCAGCCAGCGTAAACCTACACAGAGAGATGAACAGGAAATATGGTCAGGGACGCGGACTTATAAAAAATATTGGGGGGGCCCGGGAAAGCTCATGAATAATAAATAAGCTCATGAATATGCAAATAAAGTGGCTCCGGCCCTAAATAGGGCAAGCCACGCCCCCCCAGCCAGCCGATTGGCTGGCTGGGAGGTGTGGCCAGTCGGGATTCCCCTGTTCTCGCGGGGGCTGAAACCGCCAGGAGGAAGGAAATTCCCCCCGGCAGTGCCTTGGCAGTGGCGGTGGTGCTGCGAAGCAGCGAGGCAGGAGCCCCCGCCCCCGGCGCCCGAGATTATTGGGGGGGCTGAGGCCCCCCCAAATTTTTTTGAGGGGGCTCGAGCCCCCTCAAGCCCCATGGAGTCGGCGCCTATGAATATGGTTGATAGTACTGATAGCCATGGAAGATAGTACTGATAGCCTAAGAAGATAGCTGGGCCTCCCTACCTTTGTCATTCTCCCAGTGCTAGTAATTCAACCAGGAGGAAGAGGCACTTTCAATCGACAAAGCAACCCAGAAACCAGATTTAGAAGGATAAAGGAAACCCGTGCCATCCCGAGAAGGCCTGTAGCTGGTGCGCACTACCTTAAATCAATATAGCAAATTGTAATCTGATCTATAATATGTGAGGTCAGATGAAAGAGGTGTAATAACATAATAAAAGCCTCTTTCAATTGCGGAAGTGCCACTTCACAGTAAAGCAGTAATCATAGGCAAATCAAAATAATCTTATTGACACTGACTGAACCACGAAAGGGAATGAGTCAAGTGCATATGATGGGCACAAGTCCCTATGCCAGAGATTAATGAGGGTTTCAATGGCATAGCTGAATACGTCAGCCAGGCACTTACAAGGGCAGTCTTAGCTACCCATACCCATGTAAATCAGCTTGGGCTTGAAGATGGCCTTAGAAGCTCCAAGGCTTAGATGTTCTGCTCTCTAGTCTACATCACTAAGGTCAATCAGATTCATGAGTTTCAGTGACAAATGACCTTTTCAGTGGTGGCCCTCCACTTGAACGCTGCTTGACTTAATTTCTTGCTACCCTTAAACAGTCCTTGAAAACTGTTTTATCCCAGTAATCTTTAATAATAATAATAATTTATTTGTACCCTGCCCATCTGGCTGGGTTTCCCCAGCCACACTGAGGGCTTCCAACAAAGATTAAAAATACATTAAAATGCCAGACATTAGAAGCTTCCCTAAACAGGGCTGCCTTCAGATGTCTTCTAAATGTCAGGTAGTTGTTTATCTCTTTGACATCTGGTGGGAGGACGTCCCACAAGGCGGGCACCACTGCTGAGAAGGCCCTCTGCCTGGTTCCCTGAAACTTCACTTCTCCCAGTGAGGGAACAGCCAGAAGGCCCTCAGCGCTGGACCTCAGTGTCCACGCAGAACGATGAGGGTGGAGATGCTCCTTCAGGTATAATCAGTTTCATTCCCTTTATATGGTTTTATTATCATACTGCTCTTCAATTTGTGTTTCTTCACTTGTTTTATTTTCAACATTTTAGGAGGCTGCCCAGAATCAGAAACTCTATCAAGGTTCCTGACTGCAAGTGTTAGGACATTTTTCTGGGTGCTGAAACAGAGCAGATCCACTTATTGTGTGGAAATTACATACAAGTTAATGAAAGCATTAGAACTCACATAATTAAGACAGAAGATAAAAGACAATTACACTTTTAACAATTACAGTTATAGCTTATTTCTTTCAAGAAAATTCCAGTCCTTCAGGTTTTCTTCAAGCCTTCATCTTTCTCCTTGTTGCACACCCCCAGTCACAGTTCTGCATTCCAGCAACTTTCCCAGTCCCCACCCATTGTAGGATACAAGTTGGCGAATTTCCAGCATATTTGCACCAGAGGGCAATCCTCATTACCAGAGCTGCATAACACAAAGGCCTGGCTCATTATTTTCTTTGTGCTTTCAAACACAGACTCAGTTATCAGAACAATTCCTAAAAATGTCATTAAGAAAGGACAAATCAACAGCATTTCAAGAAGCAATGACAAAACTTTCAAGAAGGATCTGTACACAGGCCCAAATCAGCACACAATATAACCATTAACTGCCCTGTTTCTTCCTTGGCAGCCACAGAAACTGCTTAGCAACCATGCTTTCACACTGTGTCCCACCAAAACCCAATTTTTCCAAGCAGGGCAACATGATGTTATTGAAGACAAGACCTTCCTCTCTGTCTTTCCAACGCCAATAAAACACAATGGGTGGAAGGGTGAAAAAAGTTTATTTGATCCTGCAGAATACAGACTTGATAGGATGTTTCCCAAAGACTGAGTGCTGACCTTTAAAGCCCTAAACAGCTTCGGTCCTGTATACCTGAAGGCGCGTCTCCACTCCCACCATTCTACCCGGACACTGAGGTTCAGCACTGAGGGCCTTCTGGCAGTTCCTTCACTGCGAGAAGTGAAGTTACAGGGAACCAAGCAGAGGTCCTTCTCAGTAGTGGTGCCCACCCTGTGGAACACCCTCCCATCAGATGTCAAAGAAATAAACAACTATATGACATTTAGAAGATATCTGAAGGCAGCCCTGTTTAGGGAAGCTTTTAATGACTGATGTTTTAATGTAATTTTAACCTTCTGTTGGAAGCCCCCCAGAGTGGCTGGGGAAACCCAGCCAGATGGGTGGGGTAGAAATAATAAATGATTATATTATTATTATGAACACACAAAATACAAAAGCATTTATACTATCCTAGCAAGTACACAAAAGCATCGGGGTTTTTTCTGTTGGAACAGTGTTGAAGCAACGATTCTTCGACATCAACTTTGTTGGACTGGTCATGTTGTGCGGATGCTAAAACCCTGTTTTGGAAGACAATCTTACTCGGCTACGAGTGATTGCCAAAGAAGAAGAAGATTGGCTGAGAATATGCATGGACAAAGCATGCCTAAGCCAGTTATTCTCACAATTGGCTATAGAGTGGTTGCTATATTTTAGCTCAAGGTATGTCCCCGGACTTCCCTTATCTTGAGCTTAGGCTGGGAATAACCAGCCTTGCGGTTGAGACTGTCAGAAAATGATTGCTCAGGCTCAGCAGCCCAGCAGGCTGTGTGTGATGTGTTTGCTTCAGGGTTATGGTGCTCAGATATCAGTGGCAAAGGGACGTAGCTTCTGGGGCAGCCCAACAAGTGCCACCACTATTTTGTGCAATGGACGGCAAGAAGAGAGAGGCGCTGGATTTTGGCGTTACAGTGCGCCACTGAAATTTGTGCTTATGCAACTCAAAAGGACTGAAAGGGAAAGGGAGAGGGACTGGCAAGGAAAGCAGTCAGGCTCACTGCTGGCTGAAGTGAACCTCTGACAAGGAGTAGGAGGAAAGTGGCGGCAGCTGGACAGGGAATTGTTGTTGTTGTTTAGTCGTTTAGTCGTGTCCGACTCTTCGTGACCCCATGGACCAGTGCACGCCAGGCACCCCTGTCTTCCACTGCCTCCCGCAGCTTGGTCAGACTCATGTTTGTCACTTCAAGAACACTGTCCAACCATCTCGTCCTTTGTCGTCCCCTTCTCCTTGTGCCCTCCATCTTTCCCAACATCAGGGTCTTTTCCAGGGAGTCTTCTCTTCTCATGAGGTGGCCAAAGTATTGGAGTCTCAGCTTCACGATCTGTCCTTCCAGTGAACACCCAGGGCTAATTTCCTTAAGAATGGATGCGTTTGATCTTCTTGCAGTCCATGGGACTCTCAAGAGTCTCCTCCAGCACCATTATTCAAAAGCATCAATTCTTCGGACAGGGAATTACAGGAGCTTATCCTGACTGCAGTCCATCCCTCCTTCTCTCACCTCATATGGCCCCGGCTACTCTTGCTGAGCTGCTTGGCAGGGGGTTGGACTCGATGGCCCTTGTGGTCTCTTCCAACTCTATGATTCTATGATTCTCTCATCGCTGCTGTGCACCTCCCTCTGTATTCAGTAGCTCTTGCAAGTAACGCTTACACCCAGGTATCAATGGAACGTTTTCAGAACAAACGTAGGAATGTGTTGTGTGTGTTTTTGTCTTGTTTTTTCAGATCAGAAGGGTACTGTGCCCTGTTGTAATAATTCGGGCCTGCACATCTCATGCAGGCACATGATGACCCACTTTTAAAGTATCCCAAGCCTCTTTGATGATGCTACAAAAAGATTAACAGGGCAACATCTATGGAAATTAATGACGTAGTACCTACCGTATTTTCCCCTCTATAACACACAGATTTTTTCTCCTAAAAAGGAAGGGGAAATGTCTGTGCGTGTTATTGAGCGAATGTGTGGTCCCTGGAGCCGAAAAATCAGGCAAAAATCAAATCGCGCTTCACGGAGAAGGGGAACCTGAAAAGAGGAAGCGGCTGCTTTCCTGCATTCTGCCTCAGGGTCTTACTGCCCACCCCCTCTGTTTCGTTGCTGTGTTTGCTGAAACGGAACAAAGAGCAGGAAAAGCCCCTCCCCTCCAGGCAAGCAGAGGGGAAAGCAGAGTGTCGTTCCTTCTAATTCCTCTCTGTGCTCCAGTGCTGCTGGGGAGAGGGAGAGAGAGAGGGGGAGGGAGAGAGAGGGGGGCAGGAGGGAGAGGGAGAGGGGGAGAGAGAGAGAGAGAGAGAGAGAGAGAGAGAGAGAGAGAGAGAGAGATATGGATGGCTGGCTTGGGTGAGGAGAAACTTTTGCCTTTCTTTCCTCCCTCCCGTTAAATCCCTCTCCTGCATTCTTAGCCAGCTGCTTCTCTGCACACCGCTCTCATGTCCCTTCTTTGTTTTTCCTTCGCTCCCCACTTAAAATGTGGTTACAAAGCATAGATCCATATGGATCCTCAGGATCTTTGCATTGGGTCACCCCAAATTCACCATCAGATCACATAGCATGTCCATGGCTACAGCCTGCACCAAAAAAATCACGCATCCACTGTTGCCTGGGGCTGCAATGGTGCAAAAACGTGGTTAAAAAGCATGGATCCACATGGATCCTCAGGATCTTTGCATTGGGTCACCCCAAATTCACCATCAGATCACATGTCTGTGGCCACAGCATGAAGCACAAAAATGATACATCCACTGTTTCATTCAGAATGTTTTTTTCCCTTGTTTTCCTCCTCTAAAAACGATGTGCGTGTTATGGTCAGGTGCGTGTTATAGAGCGAAAAATACGGTAATTGTTCACAAGTGTGGATTTAAGATACAGTGGAACCTCGGTTTTCAAACGTTTTGGAACTTGAATGGCGTAAACCCTGGTAAACCCGGAAATAAATGCTTCCGTTTTTGAACGTGCCTCGGGAGTCGAACTTCCAAGGAGGCTTCTGTATTGAGTTTTCTGTATTAATTTTTCTTTTTGAGGCTTCTGTATTGAGTTTTTGGTTTTCAAATGTTTTGGAAGTTGAACAGTCTTCTGGAACAGATTATGTTAGAAAACCGAGGTTCCACTGTACTAGAAAACACACTGGAAGACAATTTTCCTTAATTTTTATTAACCTCCTCTTTGCTTTCCTCTTTGCAAAGGGCTTGGAGAACTTTTAACATGCCTCCAGAATAAGGCCATTGCTGACTTTTCACGCACACCATTGCCTGCCAAAACGAAGCAGAAGCAGAGAGAGAAAGAATGCAAACTGCCATAAGTCTCACCTTTCCCCAGGGATGCCATTTCCGTGAGAATTGGGCCCTCCCATCCCTGTGAATAGTTAGGGAAAACATGAGATGGTGCTGCCTGCTGCCATGTCTAGTTTGGTCCTGGCATTGGCTCTTGGTGGCAAGGCCAGTTCTGGTGCCACTCTCAGTGGATTCCACGTGACCTGTGTATCATGTGGACGAGAATGGTTATCTCCTTCCAGGATGTAAGGGCAGTCTGTCAGCCAGGCTTCTCTTACTCCTGAGCCGCTTTACCTGTGTAGGTGGGGGAAATGCCACTGTAAAGCAGTGAAGAGGAAAAGGAAATATTGGGGCGACCTGTCACCTGGAAAAGAGCTTCCTAGATGCTTCTCCCCAGTCCCTAGCAACAGCTTTACTTCTGCTTTAACCTACAAGTTTCCCTATCTCCCTGCCTGACCAGTGCATTTTCTATACTTAGTATGCATAGAAATTGGGCTTTTAGTACCGCAGCTCCAGCCGTCTGGAATAAGTTGCCATCCGAAATCAGAAAAGCACCTAGTATTTTGATATTTAGGCACCTTATTTAAAAAGGCTAATGCATGTAACCCTATCATTTTACTCAGTAACAACTGTATGATTTTAGAAATGGTTTTATGGGGTGGTATACAAGCAAATTTTACTCAGAAATGACCCATTCAAGTTAAGGGCCCCAAGTCAGTCATGTCTATTAATTTCTTTTTTTTTTTAATGATATTTATTAAAGTTTCAAAAAAGGTTACAAAATTAAGAAACAGAAAAAAAGGAAAAGAAAAAATACAAAATACAGAAAAATAAAAACATTTAAAAACAAATCAATCTTTCCATATCTTGTCTTTCATTTACCTGTTTCCCTGACCTCCTCACACCTCCCTTTTTTGTATTCCAGTTCAGTTAGTTAATTCAGCAAATCCTTTCCCTCTTTGTTTTTATCCTAATCCTTTAATTTAATATATTATAACTTTGGATTCACACCTGTTAACAAACTTCTTCCACCAACTCTTCTCCCTGGTTTCGGATTCTGCCAGTCATTTCCGCCAGTTCCATGTAGTCCATCACCTTCATCTGCCATTCTTCCCGGGTGGGTAGATCTTGTGTCTTCCAATACTTCGCACCACAGATTTTCTGAGGAAAATACAATCTTTAAATAATCTTCCCAACAATACTATACTAGCTACTATGGATGTGGAATCTCTATATACCAACATCCCACACAACGATGGTTTACAAGCTATAATGAACACCATTTCAGATAAAACCACAGCGGACCTTGCCACCAAACTCTGCCAATTTGTCCTTACCCACAACAACTTCAAATTCGGTGATAACCTGTTCCTTCAGATCAGCGGAACAGCAATGGGCACCCGCATGGCCCCACAGTATGCCAACATCTTCATGGCAGATTTAGAACAACATTTCCTAAACTCCTACCCACTCAAACCTCTCTTGTACCTGCGATACATTGAAGATATTTTTATCATCTGGACACATGGTTAACAGACCCTGGACACCTTTCACCAGAAATTTAATGATTTTCACCCCACAATCAACCTAACAATGAATCAATCTATGCAAGAAATACATTTTTTGGACACTACTATAAAAATACAGGATGGGCGCATAGACACCACCTTATACCGTAAACCAACTGACCGACAAACATATCTACATGCCACTAGCTACCATCCCAAACATACCAAACAGTCCATTGTATATAGCCAGGCACTACGTTACAGCCGCATCTGTTCCAATTCTACAGACAGAGACTCTCACCTAAGAGATCTACAGCAAACCTTTTTAGAACTAAAATACCCAGCAGATGAAGTTAGACAACAGATCAACAGAGCCAGACTGATACCCAGAGAGAACTTGCTGCAAGACAGACCCAAAAAAGAAAATAACAGAACACCTCTAGTCATCACATACAGCTCCCAAGTTAAAACATTACAACGCATCATCAGAGATCTACAACCTCTCCTGGACAATGACAGTTCTCTTTCTCAAGCTCTGGGAGGAAGACCTTTCATTGCCTACAGACAGCCACCCAATCTTAAACAACTCCTAACCCACAATAATACTACAACCAGACTTAACACGGACACTGGCACCAGAGCCTGCAATAAACCCAGATGCCAACTTTGCTGCCACATACACCCGGACAACACCATTACTGGCCCCAACAACATCACACATACCATCTCAGGACTATTTAATTGCTCATCATCTAACATTGTGTATGCCATCAAATGCCAACAGTGTCCTTCAGCTCTCTATATTGGACAAACAGGCCAAACCTTACGCCAAAGAATAAACGGACATAAATCTGACATCAAGAATCACAAAACAGAGAAACCAGTAGGAGAACACTTCAATCCCCCAGGACATTCTATACAAGATGTCAAAGTAGCTGTTTTACTACAAAGGAATTTCAGAAATAGACTGGAAAGAGAAGCTGCTGAATTGCAACTCATTACCAAACTTAAAACTATGGAGAGACCTGGTCTGAACAAAGACATTGGATTCTTATCTCATTATACATGACTAAGCCATTTTTCACCTTCTCACCCCTTGCCTTTTCCTGTAAGACCTATTGCAGTCGTTAAGAGTCGTCAACAGGCTCATCTCAGCTACCTGCCAATCTCCCATTCCCACCACCCTTCTGAGTAATACCCCTCCCCACCTTCTCACTATATAGAAGGATCTGGCAACTTCTGTTTCAGTGTATCTGAAGAAGTGTGCATGCACACGAAAGCTCATACCAAGAACTAACTTAGTTGGTCTTTAAGGTGCTACTGGAAGGAATTTTTTTATTTTGACAGATGTACAGAGTTTGACTTTATGTTGAGATCCGTAGAGACACCATTGATCCTTTGCTGAAGAGGTTCGCCAATCTTTCAGACAACTTAATTCTCTCCTCTTAGGCAAAGATCACAAGACGTGCTGGTTGGTAGCCAGATTCTGCGCCCAGATTTATAGGCACAGATCATCCTCTAAAATAAAATAGTTTACTAGGGAAATGCTGAAGTAGCCCTCAAGGTCATTTTTTTTATGGTAGCTCAAATCTCAGTTGTACAGGTGTATGTATATATCTCAATTTATTTATTTTTAACTCATGACTTAAGTATTTCCTTCTCAGATATCATACAGTACCAGAAAAGGTTGTGGGTTTTTTGTTGTGGTTTTTTAAAAAACAAGGCCTTAATCTGCTCAAGAATTAAAGGTGTACCCAAGTGAAACCATTTTTTGAAGTGAGTCTTGTAATATCTAGTAACTGAAGGAAAAAATAGTCCACCCTTTTGTTTTATTACACAGAGTCTTGGATTCTGTTTCAAGTCTTTTCTATTGTCAAGTAAAGTCTACAAAAATATTTTCACAATCATCAAGGGTTTTATAGTGCACCCCCAGCGAAGAATTCATTTGAGAACACAATTGTTTTTGAAACAGATATTTTTCTGTGCCGCAATTGTTTACCCGTGACTACTGATGTAATTAATTTTTAACAGCCAATAATAATTTCTCATGGTTGTGTGCCAGGGACTTTCTGGATGAAGAGGAGTGGTTGGAGGCGCCAGCCGGGGAACACCTTAGAGAAGCGGCAGAGGAGGAAGACTCACAGCCAGGATTGTGGTGGTGGGACTCTGAAGACATGTCAGAGGAGGAGGGAGTCTGGGAGGCAGAAGAGGCAACATGCTCAAGGGAAAAAGAAGAGCCAGAGGAAGAAAACCCTTCAAAGGCAGGGCAGGGTGCAGAGGAAGGCACCTCAGGTCCGGGACCTCAAAGAGAAGAGGAAGAAGCTGCAACCGAAAAGCTGAAGCAGCTTCTCAGCAGCTACCTGGTCCCACCTCCTCCCTTGACTCCAATATCATGCAGGTCTTTGCATGTAGCTGAACAGAAGGCTCAGAAAGCCCAAGGGGGACCCTTCCCACCAGAGTTTACGCCTGCTTGGGAAATCCAGAGGAGGGGCTTTAGGAGGAAGCAGGAGGGGCCAAGTCTTGGCAACATCGCCACTGAGGGCAGCCATGCCTGTGGGCATTCTGCTTGTATACTATTTTCTTGAATAAAAAACTGACTTATGAGTCTCTGTTCTATCCA